TGGAGCAGAGTCCTGGGCTAAACCCCATACTTAGAGGAATGTCAGGATCCTGACCTCTTTTACATCCTCAAGAGTGCACACAAAAAAACTCTGCACGGTTGTATAATCTATCCACTTATAAAGCTTCTTCTATTGGGTAGTAAAAAATCATCTGAAGATAGTAATTGAATGTCTTTTAAAAGAACAACCACACATAGACAAGGGGAAAGAAATTAAATAAGACAAAAACAGGAACATTGATGACATTTTAGCAAAGAATTAGTGAGTATTTTAAAGTACACAGATGCTTAAATCACCTGGCTTACAAATAAAAGGTGAATTCCCCAGCTAAACCTTTGAATGTCAGAGCACTAAGGTGGGCTGTTTAACCTATGTTTGGGCACTCAGCTTTTGATTTCAACTTCACACCTCACATTTTCATTCTCCTTGCTGTACAAGAGCAAAAGTACAGAGATTTCCAGACAGGTGTTGGAATATGCCAAATAAACATGTGGAGTCATCTCAACAGATGATTCTGGTTTTAACACCCACTTAAACAACAGCAGCAAAAACCCCAAACCGTCAAAAACATTTAAAAAGCAAACAAAAAACCCAAACAAACCCAAGAAGCCTCAAAATCAGTATAAAAACCTTTTTAAGAAAGTAAAGAAACTCTAAGAACAGAAAGTGTTATTGATAATAAGACCTTTCTATGTTTTAGAAGGGTGCTTCAACAGAGCTGTTTTTAATAACTGGGACTGTTTTATACCTTAGCCCTGCCCCAGTTTCCTAGTGTGCAATCAAAGCCACTTTTTATTGTGTTATATGAAACAATGGCCCACTCAGGGAAGGAGAGGAGCAAGAAAGCATAAAAATGAAAATCAGAGTAAGTGATCAGAAAGGAGAAATTGCTTTTAAGAGATCCCTCTTTCTTAATGTGAGTTAAACCCAAGTTGTATCTTCCATGCAGCTGCCCAGAAAACCTGGGCAGGGTCAGACAGGAAGGGGCTGTCAACCTTTGCTGTTAAAACCACATTGAAATAATTCTGTCTATCAGATGAAATTGATTTAAAACTACTTCAGTATCCTTCCCCTTCCAGTTAATACCATTGTTTTTACCTCTGGTGTCCTTCAAATACTGATGGGTGCCTGCTTATTCTGCCATGCCATTCTCCTCCTGCCTCTCCTCCATTGTAGACAACTGCTACTGTGGTTTTAATGCTAAGCCTTTGTTTATAGAGCCAGCAGCACTAGGCATTCACATGAAAACACTGAAGATTTTTTTTTCTAGATTCCCATGAATAGTCATAGGGCTGCAGCACATAAAGTTTCTCTCTTTTGAATTTGCCTGTTAGATGTCATCGAAGTGTGGATTAAAATTCATTGGACACAAACAAAGAAAAACTTTGGATCAACCCTAGAAAGGCATCTCTGCTTTTCTTTGTTTTGTTCTCTTTCAAAGTAGAGATCTTCTTTTACGCAGCAGGAATCCTGGAAATCTTGAATTTTTGTTTTGGAGGAAAACTCAGCAGCAGGAGGGCAGATAGAACAGTTGGAATTTCATTTTGATCTTCTGGAAATAATGATTTATTAAGCATCATTGAATCAGCAATGATTTATTTATTTTCCTCAATTTACCTGATTCTCAATATACTCTGTATTTTCCCCAGACTGCCTTGATCTCCCTCAGCCTTTTTTCTATCTTTATAAGGAAATTGGGAAACTAGGTGGGAGAAGAAAATCTTTCTGGGCAGCATGTTTGGGAAAGAGAATAGAGGAAGTGACCTAAATTTTTTGCAAAAGGAAGCAATCATTTTAATGACATGAACAGTTCTACACAAGCCAGTGGGTTATCTTGGTGTCCATGTAAATGGGGAATTGAAAGAGCATGAGATAGATATTTCAGGAACTAAGCAGGATGTTGACTTTGAAATTGCTGAAGACTCAGCTGAAGACAGTCCAACACAATCACTTTTTCTCTAGGGTAATTGCTGGAGGAACTCTGCTCGGTTTGCATAGAATAATGCAATTCAGGAAGAAATTCAATTACTGAGCTAATTATCACATTGGATGAGTGGTAACAACCAAATATAAAGTAAGAGGCCACTGGAGGAAAGCCCAAATCACCTACTAATCCCAAAAGTTCACAGTGAGAGGTCCTGGTTGAGAAGTAAATGTGTTGCTGGTTTGATTGTTAGGTGTAGTGGATTATAGTTTAATCCAATTCAAATTCCCATTGCTTTCAAGAAGATACAAACACAGCTTTGGTTACTAATAATTGTAGAATACTTTTAAAACCCAGAATTGATTATGGGACAGCATTTATTCAACTAAGCTGAATTTCAGCACTGAAGTTTGCTTTATAAACTGTCTATATTACCCTTGGTCTTAAAAAAAACGAAATAAAATTATACCTCATAATAGCTGTATAAAGATTTGAGTTCTAGCTGTGTCTGAAAAGGTAAATTCTTGTCTCATGTCCCAGGGCTCATGTTTTAGCTGCTCAAACAAAGCCTTAATGGAGCCTGGTTCTGTTTTATTTTGTTTGGGTTTTTATGTTTGTGAGAGCTGTTCTACTTCCTTCCCTTTTTCCCTGTCAGGCTGCATCATCTGAATTGTAGTGTCCCAAAGCATTTGTGATTTTCCCTGATTGTTTCATGCATCTTTCTGTCAAAAGAAAAAATAAGTGGGGGTGGGGAAAGAAATAGACCCAGAGCTGCATGCTGGGCAAAAGGATTCCTGTTTTTTATGGTTTAGAATTTTCTGAAGTATTGGTTGGTATTATGGGTCTCAATAAGCCTCCACAACAGAAATGGTATGAAACTGGGGTAAAGAATAGTATTAACTTTTACCTTAAACTACCACAATGATTTCAGAGGCACTGAAAGTTAATAAAGCATCTCATAATCTTAAAACATATGCATTTGGAAATCAGCAGTGCTTCTCTGCTGAGAATAGAAAATTGATTGAATTCCACAACCTAATGTTTATGCTTACTCTTGCATATGCAGGTGGATATATATCAGGATGAAAGAATTCTGACAACCTTTTTAAAGTAAAATGGTTCTTTATATTCTGAACTGCTTAGAAGGCACTTCCCCCCAGTACCATGTTCTGTTGAATAGGAAATGATAATTGCAGTTGCAATGAGCTGAGCCAACCAGAAGCAGGAAGATAAATAATACCTCCAATAAAATGTTAATCTATATAAAGTAGATAATATACTCATATTAATTACAAATAATTTTAATTAAGACTCTTATTTTCTTATTTTTGCAAGGTAGAGAATGTGCCTTTTTAAGGAAAACAAACCACTTGCTTTTGGTAGGAAGCAGAAATAAAGCAAATCTGTTCCTCTCTTGTCTCCTACGTGGAAACCCGTGTGTAATTTTTCTATTGGTCGGTTTTCCACAACTTTTTTGGGAAGGCTGTGGGGAGTGGATGAAAAGACTTTGTAACATATCAGTGGCATCCTTCTCCCTGTTGGATTCAGCATGAACTTACACACAAAATCCTGGAAACCGCTACTGAGTCTCTGCTGTGTTTCAAAGACAACATTATCTTTACACCATCCTTTTCCAGTGTTATTTAAGCTGTTTGAAAACCTCCCTTAGAAGGGACCCCTCTTTGGTGCCATGTTCCTTGGGGCACGTCTGCACTTTTCACAGTGAGTAGTTAAATTCGGGCTGTGGAGGTTGACTGCCCAATCCCCAGCCTGTTCAAAACCTCCTCTGGGCCCTGTGCTCCCCACACCGTGAGCCAGACCCCGGCCAGCGCCACCCAGCCATGCCAGTGTCACTGCAGTTCCACCAAGGACACCATGTGAACTGCAGGGACACACCTGGGTGTCTCCCTTGGATCCCATGCCAGGAAATTGTAGCTCTTCTCCCCTGTGTTTGAAGGCCTTTGTACACAAGGCCCTTGTCACTGTCACACGTGACCTCATGCTGACTGTTGTTTGGGCCTTTTCCTGGTTTTGCTTTAATCTCATTTGCCAAGGAATCAGAGATCATATTTACATAGTTGATAGATAGCTCTTCTGTTAAGGCTAGTGATTGAGGGCAAAACTTTTGAGGCAATATTTTTAATGAAGAGTCCTGAAATCCTTATAATACTCATGCCAGAGCAGTATTTCAGGGAAATTGATGTTTACTATAACATTTTTATTAGCCAGAGTTCCACTTTTATCCCAAGGACCCTTGGGTGCTTGGGAGATGCTTTGGACTTGGTGTTGAATATCCCTACTCACCACAACAATCATTCTCTTCTGTTTAACACATGCTGGCCCACAGTGATTTACTCATTCCTTATTTTCTGACTTTAATAGTGTCTTTTGTTACAGTTAGTAATAAAAGTTCAATCCAATCTACCTTTTTAGTTGCTTTCTCTTTTGTAATCATTTTTCCTGTGTTGTTTATATTCCACTGCTACAGTGAAAATACTGAATAGGAAATGTGCCATTCATAAGGGTGACAGGGTTAGTGCCTGTATGAGCTAAGGCCCTCTAATTTATTCTTTTTCAAGCAATAAGAATGACCAGGGACTCTCCTGGTGCTCCCTAGCTAAATATGAAACTAAGTAAAGTATTTTTCTATTGTTTTTCTGTGGATGGTAAACACCCACAGAAATGTTTTCTCCCAAAGAAAACTCCTTGAGTTTCCCTTAAGGCCTAGAAGGAAAGAAAGACTGATTAAATACTCTTTCTATTCACTGTTTTGGTGGCATCTGTCTCTTTCTGGAGCCAGTTCAATTATTGAAGTACATAGTGTTGTATCATATGCCAAATTATGAACAGACTGTGCCCCACAAGAAGGAAAATGGGCAGAAAGAGTGTGCTGATAAGCTATAATATCAATAGCAGTACTGACCTGAAATAACTATGTATGTCTGATGAATGGATTTGTGTGAACTGCCTAATTATATAAACACAAAATGGAGATGTGTTAAAGGAAAAAAATGTTTATTGTGAGAATTGTTTATTTAAAAAAAAGACTTGTCTGTAAACATGTCTTTATTTCCAGCACCAAAAGATCAGACCATTCCAACACCAGACTGGCAATTCAGATCGAAAAGGATGCAGGTATGGCTTGGGAGTTTGGGTGTCTTGCTTGATATGCAAAATGTCATATATTTACACTGGTGAGGCTTTGCTGGGAAAGCTGAAGATATGCAAAGGGTTTGAATGGTGTGTGTATAAACCAAAGCACTTTAAATGTAGCAGAGCACCAGTTTGAGTCGTGTGACCTGATGAGTAAATTACTCCTCAGTTATGTGTAGCTGATCAGACAGAGAGCTGCTGGGCTGCCAATTAATTGCCTGGTTAATCATAACATTGGTGTTTTTATGGAATATGCAGCAGGCACCCTAGCTAGACTCAGAGGTCAGCTGTGGGTAGCGAATGGTTTTGGGAAAAAAGCAGTGAGTTAGTGGTGCCTCTACCACTGAGCAGTTTGGGCTGACAGGTATCTCCTCTTCCCGGGAGAACCTTTTTGAGAGGGGAAGAAGAGAAGTTGGAAAACTTGCAAGAGGAAGAAGTAGGAGAGATGATGGGCTGCTCTGCTGAGTATCAGTGCATTAAATGAGCACCAATCCATGGCCATGCAAAGCAACTTCCCAGGCCACACTGAGTAGTTCTTCTGAGATTGGGAAGTGAGAGCAGTTTTGGCACATCAGTGGACACAGAGAAGGTGTGGTACATCAGCTGGCACTCTTCAGTGCCTGGTGGGACAGAGCACTTTTTGGAGGGAACTGATACCAGTGTCTCATGCCAAAATCTCATCCCAGTGAGAGAGACCAAGGTTTCATAGATGTGTTCTTCCACTTTAGTGTTGTGTGGCAGATTTTATCTTGCCACTGAGACAGCAGAGGTTGTATTGTGAAGTTAGACATTTACATTTTAATTATTGCTGGTTTACCCCCCCATTCTTTTTGTCCTTATCCATTACATCAGTAACATGAACAAATACATGGTTTCAAGCAGAAATTGATCCAAGGAGTCCATAGTTTGAAGCATGAATGGTGGTTTTTAATTATTTATCATTTAAGGCAGGGAGTTAAGATTTTTCCTAAGGCCATTTTTCCATCTGATAGCAGTGGCCTTTAACATTATTACATACGCTAATAAGTGAATTATATTTTATACCCTGTAGCACAAGAAAAGCTTTCATTTTGTGTACTTGCTTAAAAGACTCATTTTATGACTTGCTTAAATTTTGACCAAATACACTCCAGAAGGTGCACAGGTGAGTGTGTCTGCGTGGACATGAGCACACATGGACAAACATACCAAGGCTGGGTGTGTAATGGCCACGGGCACAAAAAGCAGTGTAGTTGCAAGCCCTCTCCTCCTCTGGTGTCAAGGAACAATTTGTAGGGGAAGCTATAGCCTCTGCAAGCCTCATCTTCTGGGCTTTTTTCTCCTCCATGTTAGATCTCCTCCTAAATATGCACAAACATAAAAATGCATGAGTGCCTGTATGTCTGTATCCACATACACTCATATGCATACAAATACACCTACAAGAGGTTGGTTTGTATATGTATTTGTGCACCAGCATTTTAAGAGTATTAAAGGTGGGACTCTGATGCATTACAGAAGAGAGAAGCAGTTTTCATGTCAAGCATATATTGTGTAAAAGAGTACAAGCAGAGGGCAATACCATGTTGGATTGTATGGCACCATGATAGCATTTGTGAAGGGTTCAGTCCCTTTCACAAATCACCATCATAAAGTGCTCCTTCTCATCCGGTTAAAGGCCACAGACCTTTAAGAGATTACACTTCTAGACTGTGATGGGGTGTTGTCCACCTGGGCATTTGGTCCAAGCCATGTGTAATTGAACAGCTACTCCTTTTAAATTGGTAGCAATTCTGGTGATGCATGTTTCATGCTTACCAGGATATACTCAGTAAACTGTTTTAAAATGAGTATCCTCATCTTAAGTAACAACAGGTTCTTCATGGACAAAGCCTTGAAAAATTCCTGGAGGACTAGAAGAAAAAAATCCCAACAAAATTATTGGTATCTGTGTGACCAAAATATTTGAAAATCTCTTAAAAAACATTTAAATTTAACTACATGTACTGAAGTAATAATGATTTTTTGTTTATTTACATTAAGAATAGTATATAGACATTAACTTAGCATTGCAGAGACTTTTAGTGGAGCGAAGAATTTCTTACAGTTGTAAATCATGGAGGTTGTTTGATTGAGTCTGAAATATGTGTTATCACTAATGTGATCTTTTATTTACAATATTGCTCATATTAACCTGATTCTTTGAAGGGCTACCTAAAAAAGTAGATTGTGTAAAGTATCAGAAAGATATCGTCTAGCTAGAGGAAGCAGATTTAAGTAGGAATGAAAAAGAACATAAAATTTAATGCAGAATGGCTTTGTATAATTTTTTTTAACAAATATGTGCTGCTCTGGTTGTAGGAAATGATGACAATAATCTCAACTCCATTTTTTATGAGCATTTGACAAGATCTCTGCAGGAGTCTCTTTGTGGAGATTTGATCCTGGGCCGCTGGGGAAACTACAACACAGGAGACTGTTTTATTCTGGCATCGGATTATTTAAATGCCTTTGTGCACTTGATCGAAATTGGAAATGGCCTTGTCACCTTTCAGCTCAGAGGGCTTGAATTTCGAGGTAAGGATCCACGATGATTTCAATAGCAACAAAACCAGCAATAAATCCTGTCTGTCTTTTTAATCTATCACAACTCTACAGCAGGACATAGGGTTTGAGGACTTTTCTCTTTCTACAGATGCTTGTCTGTCTGAAAGCTTGGTACTTCTTTGTATTGTTATATAGATGTTGTTTTGAAATCTAGATGTTAAGAAATTTGGAGCCATGTTCTGCAGTATCATAAGATACTTTCTTTCAGCAAGAAGGCTTGTTGAGTGATTTGCTTGGTTCACAGATCTTTTGAGTAATGCTTAGTTATGTTTTCATATTATTTCTTTTCCTCCATAACTATGAAAATTGGAGTTGTTCTTAAAATTTTTCAAGATTTTAAGAAAAATTTCAAAAAACCTTGTCTTTGGGAAACAAACAAACAAAAGAACCAAAACCAAAATAAGACTCATTCCATGGAAAATATCCTGTGTCAAACCATACAAGAAGCCAGTGCTGAGATGGTCTCTGTCACACTAGAACAGCGGAGTATAATCAGAGTATAATCAAGGTGACTTTTCAACAAGGTTGAGTGTGAGAAAATAAGTGACAGCCGGGCTCTTTGAATGCTCTTAAGTGTGGGAGGATTAGACTAGGAAATAACATGTGTGGGCTCAAGTCTTGACTCTGTGACAGACTCCATGTAGGATATACAACAGGTTGTGGTAAATGCTTTATGTTCACTTTCCTTCCTGTGCAGTGGGGATGAAGATAACACTCTTGTGTCCTCAGCAAACTTATGTGGAAAGGAAACAGTAATTGCCTGAAACAGCTTGGTATTGTAGTACCTCATGAGATGCCTATTCAAAACAATTGCAAATTGTGAGGAAAAACAACTGGAAAGGAAGAAAAATAATTTATCAGCCTTATAATTTCTTGTTGTTTATGATGATTGTTGAGGAATACATGGTCTTGTACATGTGCTTCTTAGGCTTGCTTCAACTTCCAAGAGATCTGTGCAAGTATTCTTGTATTCATCTTCTCCTTCGGTGTCCCCAAGGTGAGCAGTGGTGTGGCTGTGTCAGGGAGAGGTACTTGTAGTCTAACTTCCAAAATTTATCTTTGCTGAAAATCTTTTTGTGTTAAAATAGTTCAATGTGGGATTTGAAACAAACAGAAGAAAGGAATCTCCTTCCTACTTAAATTACAGGAGTCTTGTGAGGTGATTTTTCTTCTTGCTTGTGCAGTTGCCCCTTACTGGGGGTCCCTCTCTATCATCACCATCGCCAGGCAGTAGAAGTTAAGTAAATGTTGGAAGCAGATAAAACCATGTGAGAGGATGCTCAAACCATGTGAGAGGATGCTCAAGCCATGTGGGAGCTGGATAAAAAGATCAGGGCCTAGCAGACAGGCATAATGAACTGGATGTTGAATGGGGAACAACTGGATAGTTTTGTTGCAAAGTGGTTTAGGAAGACGTTCGTTGACATTGAGCCAGGATCATTCACAGCCAGCAAGGCGGTTTGGCATTTGCATCTGGGAGCAGAGCTCAAAAATTGCAGTGTGCCACCTGTCGAGGTATCTCTATATTCCCTAAAATCATAGTTTAAGTAATTAAATGTGTCTGAAAATTGATCTTTCCATGCACTTTGCCTAATACTGTTCAGTATTAATTAACTGCAGTTAATACTGTTTTACTTTGTGAATAGATCCAGACTGTCTGCCAGCTGCAACAGGTCTTTAAATTCAGCTGGGGCTGAGCCCCACAGCCTCACATGTCTTCCACAGACTGCTATTGAGAGCCAGCTGAGCTCTCAAGAGGAATATCCTTTTTCCTAGTCTTTTTTCCACTCCTCAGGGGGAGACTGGCATCCTGCAAAGCAGCACCTCTTTCTTACCCGAATCTTGGATGGGCCTGGACCAAGAGAGCAGCAGCAAACTGAACTGGAAAGTAATGCCAGTTACTGGAGGTGGAGAGGGGTGGGGAAATGGTGGTTTCACCTAGATTATCTCATCCTCAGTACAAATCTAGTCCCCTATGCCTCCTCACCCTCAGATTATCACTAGGGGAAGAGACTGCTCAATACTAGAGGAGGAGGTAGTAGGAAGTAGGAGAAAAATGGACTATCTCTCTTCTCTGAACCTACTGGATAATCCTGTTTCAAGAATAAGACAAATTTGTGGTTTTGTGTCCTCACAGACATGGTATGTAAGGAAGTTTTCTCTGGTCTTCAGAGTGAGTGGTAGAGGAGTTGTTATGGGAACAGAAACTGAGAGTGTGTGTGTGTTGCTATTCCGTTGTTTGTCCTGGAATAGAGAAGCTGTGTAGGGTTGAATAAAGGAAATTACCTGAGGTAAAACCAGCTCAAACATGTAGCATTTGCTGTGCCCTGTGAGAGCTAAACCCTAGTGGACTGTGTGGAATGAGGGCCAGACAAATCACACAAATTACAAGCCTGCTTAAGGATGGACTTGGAGAAGCAGAGGAGCCCACAGGGGAACCAAGCACAAGCCAGATAAGGATGCCTGGATCTGATGCAAACTACAACAACAGTTTCCTGGACATCAAAGTGAGCAGATAACCTGCTGTGTGCCCAGTGGAGAGTTCCTGGGGTGATGTGATGCCCCCAGAGGGTTGTTTGCGTCTCCAGGTAACCCATGAGGGCTGGTATGCTTTAGATAAACTATGCTGCAGAATTGTGCCCTTCCTGTACGTGGTTTGGTCCTTCTGCCAGCAAGGAGCTGGGCTGCTCTGGTGGGGTTGCAGGCCACAGCGGTGCCCAGGCACTCAGGCACTAGTCCGAGTAAAAGGAGCCAGAGGGGCTGACCTGAATGCAGAAGTTCATAAGGGGATGGACCAAGGCTGTTCCAAGGAGGTTGTGTAAAAGCTGAGACTGAAATTCTGCCTTGGAAGGCATTCTTTGCTCCTTCCCTTGAACAGATTTGCTGCCTGCAGGGGCAGGAAGGTAGAGCAGGCTTCTATCAAGCAGCACCAAGAGACATCTCCTGTGTGGACTGGGCACATTGTTCCCCATTTCAAATCTTGCAAAAGGCTGGTAAATACAGCCAGAATACTGAATACAGTAGGAATTTTTTTCTGTAGAAGTGAAAGAGTGTATGGAACTGCCCTGGAAGAAGCTGATGGTTTACAAAGTCAAGTGGCAGTTATTAAGTACCAGACACTGCTTTGGGCATCCTACATTCCTATTTTTAGTTGTCTGGTCATGCACTGTTTTTTTCAGGGGACCCTAATTCCTTTCATTGTACAGAATGGTTTCCCACAAGGGGGAGAAAAGGGCTAGAGGAGGAATTTGTAATCTGTAATTTCTGAGCTTTGGCTGCTTCATTTCAGTTTCAAACAAGTAATTTTAATTGAGGGCCCCAAAAATCTGCTGTTCCTTAAACAGGGAATCTGTGTTTGCTTTGGAAATGGGTGAATCACAACAGTGTTCTCTGTGACTGTTTTATGTTTGTGACTAAACCAAAAGCAATATTTGCATTGTGGAGCTCTGGATTTTCCTACGTGTGTTTCTCGGCTGAAAGGCTGTGCAGGCAGTGCTGGTAGTGCCCTAAGAAGGGGTCACAGAGCCTTCTGAATTTAAATGTAGCAGGAGGTACTTGCTGCCCCCTCAGTTTGCAGTCCATCCTGATTGAGGTTTGGCATTGTGAGTGACTGATCCAGATGCCTTTCTAACTGTTTGTAATAGAAGCATTTGTCTCAGCTTTTAAATGAGAAAACAAACCCAACCTAATGCCTGCAGGCAGCCTAAGAAGGTACAGACTGAGCAGACTGAAAGAAGAGTGTCAGCAAATCTGGGATTCCTTTCATCTGTCTTTAGTCCTGTTTTCAATAAACACCTTGGATGAATTAGTTTTTCACTCTCCTATTCTATGGACAGAGAGGGGGTGTGCCTCCGTTGTGTCATTCATCCTGAGTAAAAAGGAGAGGGGAGGCTCAAGATCTCCAGACATTGACAGGAAATGCCCAGCTCTTCCTTTGTGGACAGCAAAGAGAAGGTAGAAATGAGCTGAAACTAGGGGAACACTTCCAAAGAGCTGCACAGTGGTGTGGGGGAATTGAGCCCTTCAGTAACTTAACTCTGCTGGGTGTGTTAGACCACAGCAGAATGCTAAAAGCAGCCTGCCAGAAGAAATACATAACATATCATTTAATTTGAAATGAAGAGATGGGAAAAACCCACAGTCAGGGAACAAGCAGAAACAATGTCAAAATACTTCCCTCTCACAAGTTCCCTATAGAACAAGGGAGGTTTAAAATGTTTTCCTGTTTAGTCTGTGTGTCTACAGAGTGTCTTTTGGGGAATATTCATTTAGCATTTCATATGTAGAAACTACATACTGATGGTGTTGCTGAAATCTTCAGGACCTGTTTTCTAACTCCTGCACTGCATTCTTCAGTCTTTTAATGAACTTCTAAATCTCTGCTGTGAGTTTTTTTGTTACTGTGTGTTGCACGTGCAATATTCATGCTTCACTTGGAACTTCATTAGATGGATCAAGGCACGAAGCACGGAGCAGACACAGATGTAGTTGTACACAGTGGCAAGCAGCTGTGGCAGCAGGATGGGGTTGCCCATGGGGTTCTCTGTGCTTATTTCCCACACAAAAATGGTGTAGGCAAGCAGCCAGTGCAGGCTGTGTGCTCTAGGCACAGTACTGATGTCTAATAAGGACAGTTACTCATTTCTGCAGCATGTGTGCATAGTTTTATTATAGTAGCAAGTGCATTACCAGTGTAAAGTATATTTATTTGTGTTTGATTTTTGTTTCTGAAGGCTCTGTAGCACTAGGAAGAATAATTCTTTATTTAAAGAGTGGTTGCAACTTCTGTGTTTTTACAAATAATTTCTTGCTGTTGGGAAATAAAAGTGCCCATGTTCATGTTTTTCCTGAGACCACACTTGAGGTATATTCAATGTATGTACCAGTACATTAAAAGGTTTTGATAAATTACAGAGTTCAGAGAAAAACACAATTTTTTGACGCATCCTTTGGGGGAGAAGGTTAAAACT